GGCCGCCTGGGCCGCGCTCGGCCCCATCTTGCTGCTGCTGCTCCGGCCGCTCCTCTAGCCGCGCCTCGCCGGCACCTGCGGCCGGGACCAGAGCGAGCGGAGCCGAGGCGCTCCGGAACTCAGCAGGGCGACTCGGCCTGGCCGGGGTCTTCGCCGCCTGGGCCTTTCCCGTCTCCTCGCCACGCTGAGCCCTGGGACCTGCTCCCGCCCCGCTCCCAGCTCCAGAAACCGCACAGGGCTCTGGGCTGCGGAAGCTAAGCCTGGAGTTCCGGACAGCCTGCAGGAAACGGCGCGGGACGGGACCGAGTCGGAAAAGTGCTGGCCACCGGTCTTCACAGTCCGCAGGGACTGAGCTTGAAGCTGGACTGGAGGGTGAAGGAGGAATTAGACACAAAGGGTCTGTTTATTAGCATTTTTCTGGTGAGGGAGGAAAATAGTGCTTGTGGCCAGTGAGGACCGAGCAATCGTGAGTAAAGAGAAAAGTCCCATTTACCGTTTACTCTTGGTATCAGCACCCAGAGTGCTCGGTGACCAGTGGCGGGAGGCGGCGATTGCCTCTGGAGAGACTCCTAAATTAGTTTCTGATAACTTTGAGCCCTTGACCTTAAATTTCATTGCTACTATTCTGATCTCTTAGCACATTTCTTAGGGTTAAGAGTCCAAAAATGCTGATCTGAAGAGTTACTATGGCATTGAACAATGCCGCTTTTTATTTAAAAAGCTCTGCACTGCCATCTGTGAAAGGCTCTTTATGATGTTTGTGTTGCTGTCAGTTTTGTTCTTTACATCAAAAAATTGTATGTTCAGATATGCAGAGAACGTGTATGCCTCTGCCCCTATCAGGGTGCCCAACCCTGGTACTTCGTATATAAAGTGTATTAAGACTGGAGTTTGTTACCAGTTGCTGTACTTTGTATATATAATTTTTATAAATTGTATGCTTCAGAAATAATTTATTTTTAAGAAGAAATTAAAAGTTTTAAATCCACATCCATGTTAAATCTTTTACCCCCAGAAATGTATCGAATCCACTTGTCACTAGGGATCCAAATCCAGAGTCCATTTGGAAGTGTGCTCTATTAAGAGCAGCCTTAAAATGTACAGTGTGTTTTATAGATTTGAAGTAACATTCTTATTTTCAAAAGAATTTATGGACATTGTAGAATTGTATAAATGCATTTTCAAACTGCCTTAAACATTGTATTTTTATAGACCTCATTTTTTTAAAGTCTTATGATTTAAATAACTATGGCTTTGCGTATTTTTTGGTTTATTAAAATGTGTACATCAGTAAAGAGATTATAAACAATGAATATTGTGTAGTTGTTTTCCAGGATTTGGCCCAGGAGTCGGTGTGGAGGGCTGTACAGAGGACACTGGGAATCCTTAGTCGTCAGTGGGAATTAAAATGCAGTACAAGACAAATGTGGGCGATTTCTGCCTTTAATTTAATGAAGAATTAGACATCTGTAAATGAGGCAGCTAAAAAGATATGTAACTGGCCTTCCTTGATTTTTTTTCAGTGTGTAGAGAATTAACAGAACTGTACTGTGCATAATTTAACGGTAACCCAGGCATCACATTCCCCACCCCCTTTTCTGGGGCTCTCCCCACCCCCTCGAGTAAGCCCCTACCCCCAGGAGAGTCCTCAGGCTAGTAGTCCTTCTCTTGCAATCAAACACTCCAATAACATCTGTTACCAATAGAGCCCAGGAAACCTACAAGACTTAGTACTTCAAAGTCATTTTCACACTTTTGGTGAAAAAGTACAAAATTTTGTTGCAAAACATTCCCCAAAGCAAAAGTAAACACACTGGGGAGAGGAATAATTACCAGAACTTGTAATATTTTTGTGGAGAGTTGTTTAGCTGTGAGCTGAAGGCTGGGCTTCTGCCAGAGCTACTGATCTACACTCAAACGCCCTTAGATAAATAATTACACTCTTAAGCTGTGTCGAGTGCGGATACACTTGACCTTGTAAATAGAAATGTTTGCAGTAGGAATAAACTCCAGCATTGGAAAATCTTTTAAACATTAACACAAAAGAGAGCGCTCTGTCCTCTGGGGATTTGAGCCTGAACCTCGCCAAGCTAGGCACTTGCAAGGGGGAAAAAAAAGTTTATTTATCTTCTATTCGTGGTGTTTATTTAAAGCTTTTCATTTTAAACGCCATGATTGGAAGGCAAGTCAGGAGTTTAAAAGTCACCACAAATAAACTGTGTCTGAGGGGTCGACAGATTAGCAAGATCTGGTGTCTCTTTATTTGATATTAACATGTGCTGAGAAAACATAACCAGATTTCTCCCCTGCCTAAAGTAATTAACAAAGCTCTGCCCCTTCCAACTTCCTCCCACCCCCTATTGCTTGCAAGGTTTCTTTTTCCTCTAACTCACTCTTTTCTCGGGTTTTATGGAAGAATTCCAGGCACTTCTTGGTGCACCTAAAACAAAGATTATATGTACATGTAGATCTTCACAAAGCATAAGATAGTTGTCCCCCTGGAGGAGCCTAGGAGAGCAGTGTGGGGTTGGAATCTCCAGTCACCTGAATGGTTGAGTAAACATATTGTTAAAACAAAGCTGAGCTCCTTGTTTCTTTGGGAAGTGAACAAAGAGTATTCCAAGAGACTTGTAAATGAAATCAGCTTTCTTTACAAAAAAGGAGAGGAGTTAGCAATGCTCCTGCATTTGTCCTTAAATATATTTAAATCATCTCCATCTCATGTTATTTTAACACATTCTTGATGAAAAGTTAAGTCTTTGTCCCAGTAAAAGGCCCAGTTTTCCCCAGTAAGAAGTAAAAGGCATTAGCACTAGAAAAGGCCTGATAATTAACTGCTACAATAAACTCACAACTTGATTTTACAGGGTCCTGTCAAAAGCATCTGCCCGGAATAAATCAACACAGCTAGCTCTTGGGGAGAGAGGACACGAGGCTTTATGCTTTTTTACTTGAAGAAAGTGAACATTGATCTGTAGTCCATTCTGTGTAATTTAAACAATTATGCACCGGAGCCCAGAAGCCCCTGGCCTCCCTACAGGTCTAGTGGGTTCCAGAACAGGTTGTTGAAATGTCAGTGCCCTTGCTCTGCTGGTTGTGGGGTTGTGTGTTGCCATCTGCTTCTAGATAGAAAGGACTTTTACAGATGTTGACATCTGTAATAGCTCACACTCTCCAGGGAGCCCATTGGAATTCTGGACATTTGGCCGTCTCAAATGTCTCCTGGAGCATGCCTGGAAGTACCATTAGTGAAAGAAAAGGTATCCAGCTTTTCTTGAGAACTCTCAAAAACTGGCCCCCGAGAAGTTTTCCAGAGTGGGAGGGGCCCCTTTTGGCTTCCATGTAAAATCATGTGTCCCCACAGCCTTTCCCATTTCCCCAGCTAGCAGGTTGGAATGCTCAGTGACAGTTTATTTGTCCTTGGAGGCACTTCAGTGACAAATGTTTAAGGGAGTGTGGGACAATGGTTGAGAACAAGGAGGCAGTTCATTGAACTGACAGTGACCATACAGTAAATAGAAGGAGGTTCAGGCTTCACTGCCCACCCGAGCACACAGCAATGCTTTTGTATATGATCACAATGGACGCAACATAAGGTCTCTTTATTTTTAACGATATATAGCAGTGTACATGGCCATGCACGTACATAAAGTGGAAAAATGGCTGTAGGGAAGCAAATTCTGCAGAGTAGCGGGAGATCATTGTACTCGGGCAGCACCTGCATGTATCCACAAGGAAGGAAGTAGCTCCTGACCCTGACTGTTGTAACTTCACAGAGCCACAGGTCTGGATGGTAGCATGAGTCTCCAGTGGGGTCTGAGTCGGGGAAGACCCAACTACGTCTCTACCAAGAGTCCAGGGAAACCACACAGCATGGGGATTCCCCTCCTCGAGCCGTGTTCATGCCTTCATCCCATCCCACACTGATATGTGGCTTGAAGAAAGAGACCAAAGAACTCCAGAACTTTCTAAGACATTAAGCCCTATTGGAAATCTCTACAGTACCTTCAAATTTTGGCTTTGCATTAGGAACTTATCAAGTTCATTTGGAAACTCTCTAGTACAACTTCACGCTTCTCTTTTCAGAGCTGGAGAAAGAAAAGGAAAAATTACTTGGTTTTTTAACCTCTTACACCAAAGAACATCAGAAATGTTGTCACTTGACCTGGTTTTCCCAGCTACTCAGGCAAAGTTGTTGGGAGCTTTGTGTTACACATGCCTAGTGGCCAGAGTTGGACTCCTGTCGGTGAGTTAAGTTGGACTTTACTGTACTCCATTTGAGAGACTGGCCCTGGAAGACAGTGCAAAGTGCTCACCCTTGACTATTGTAATGACAGAAGTAATGTGCTATTAGCAGAAATACCTTCTAAGGCATCCATTTAATCAATTTCTTAAATAACAGAATGATCTACTACAAAATAGTGGACTGTATACACTATATTTTGGCACAAAGATGGTCATTCTCCCACTAGTAACCAGGGCTCTAAATAAATGATTTCAACAATGTTTTATTAAAGGACGACAAGAGCCCTCGAGCTGCATTAATCGGGGAGAAGTCGAGTGGCACTTTTGTTATGGAAATGTTAAGCACATAATAGCACAGCCAAACAATGTGCAGCCACTTCATTCTTTCAGCCACGCTGACACCTCTTAAAGAGGAGCTGCAGGGAAGGATGTGGGAAAGATTTGCTTTCCTAGAAAGCTTTCAGCTCATATTTTGGAGGGCTACCTCCAAACCCTGTGTAATATGCGTGCAACAGAAGCCAGAAGGGCTGCTGAGAGGGAGAAAGGCTTTCCACCTGGTATTTCAAAAACACAGGTTCCCCAATAAAACCAAGTCTACTTTTTTTGAGGTGGCATTTGCCAAAATAATGTTTTGGTGAATAGGTTGAGTTCAGTTTTATAAAGTTGATCGATGACTCAGTGGCTCTCAGTGATGTTCAGGATGCACCACAGGTAGTTACGCCACAGTACGTTCTCCTTAACAAATAGGAGGCATCCTAAGCCTCCTGACAGGTGAGCACACAACATCACCCAGCACCTCTTTGGTTCATAACAAAAAATAAATAAGACGATTGTATTTGTTCCCAGGTTTTACAATGCCCTTGCTCTCTCTGGAGGTATCCTTACAAGCATATTTCACTGTTATAAGTTAGATAGGTTATTTGAAGTTTCTCTGACACCATCGAGGGTAACTTCTCATGACTATGCTGCACTGTATATTTTATCCCTGATCAGATCCTGCTGCGCACCAAAATAAGGAATATTTCAGTCAAATTTTAGGCCTCCTTTTTTTTTTTTTTTTGGTTTTTCTCCGGTACCGGGAACCGAACTCACGACCTTGCGCTTGCCAGGCAAGCGCTTTTGCCGCTGAGCTAAATCCCCAGCCCTAGGCCTCTTTTTGAAAGCAATTCTTTTATGAAAGTGGCTCCCTTCAATTTTCAGTTTTAACCCATATCACTTCTTACCTGTCCGATAGTTCCACCTATTGGGGCAATTTTCTATAACAAACATTGCTGTCAGCTTTTGTGATGGCTAAAGTTTAGGTCTGTACTCATGAACAAGTGGTGGGATCAGTAAAAGTTTCCACAGGCATGCACCATGGGGGTATTGGGTGCAGCAGTGCCCACGGGCATGTGACACTACCATGTCTCTACATAAGCTGCCAGTCAAGTCAGGGACACAAACACGCACAGACACTATTAACACACAAAACAAGCACAGAAGAGGATGGCTTACCAACATCAGTGTGGGAAAGCTTCTTACAGAAGGTGACACTGAAGGGGAGTCCAAAGTCAGGCATAGGAGTTCACTGCTAAGAGAAAGGTGAAGAGGAACACCTGCCAAAGCAGCACTGGAGCAGCACAGTGTGGCAGTGCTTCCTGCATGTACACAACGGCCAAAGCGTGATGGAGGATGTGATAGGGCTGAGTCAAAAGAAGGGCCAGTGCCTGGTTGTGGAAACCTTGAAGGTCATGGCAGGGCACGGACTTTCCCCTACACAGTGTAGAAGTCAGAGAATGTCTCAGGGTTCCCAGCTGAAATACAGCATTTTGAGAAATACAGCATTTTGTGCAGAACTTATGAAAGTTTTAGGGAATGAAGACCAGTGGTACAACATTAGTAAGGAGACCACCACAGTGTCCAGTAGAGAAAGATAACTTACTAGTCACGTGAGGAACAAAGCAGATTCAAGACCCTGAAATTGGTCAGACACTGGTGCAGGAGTGGGAGAAGCCAGTAGGACTGCTGCTGGGGTTTTAACTCAGAAAACTGGTAACTGGAATCACAGTTGGGCCTAGGAGAAGAAAGG